GTGATCATCATTGTAGACATATAATTTTTTATCCTCCCCAAGATTTTACACATTTTAGCATAAATATTTAGTTTAGGTTTAGTATCGCTCTCTTTACTTTATTTATCACAAAAATAAAAATTACAAAAAATATTTTCTCTTATTTAGCTAATTAATATTTTTATCTAGTTACTTTTAATTTATCTAATTACATAAAATTCAAAAATACAAAAATAGTTCCAGGAATATTATCTTAATTTTACAATAATTTTTTCATTTTTTATCTTTTAGTATGATATTTAAAAAAAATACCAAAAATAGGTTTGTTTTAACAGATAGTTTTATTTTTATAGTTATTTTAGTTTTATTTTTATAGTTATTTTATTTAAGTAGGATTAATTAGTAAATGGTGTAGTATCTTGGTCTTGTTCTAGAAGAAAGAGTACGAAATTTGGGGCTAATTTTGTTTGGTCTTAATTGAAAGGGCCCAATTTCAGATAGCCCAAAATATTGAGCTCATACTCATTTCCTATTTGACCTAACCTAATTCCTACCCCTATAAATAATCCCTAACTCCTAAAATAAAGGGACCTAGACTCTAACTCTAGGCAAAAATCGGCAGCTTACCCCAAAAAATAAAAAGATCCTATTTTCCTTCCAAAGCTTGAGAGCTGACCAAAAAAATCGAAAAGAAGAAGCTCAGCCACCTGACAAAATCAGTGGAAGGATAGAAGATCCAAATTCCTTAACCGTCGATAGCCTTGAAATCATACCAGTACATTCGGAAGTGCAAAACACCGTCCCTCATTCTCTATATACTTTCATCTGAATCTAAGACCTTCTCGATCATAGAGCACGAGAATTACGAAGTCAAGGTAGTCAATGACTGCTCTACTCAAAATTGTGATTTGCTTTCTCTTCTGACAACTACTGGCTATTCGAAATATTTGGCAGTAGTGCAGGCTAAGTATTTGATAATTGTTCTCACCGAGTTCTGCCCACTTCTCAAGAAATAGATGATAGAGACAGTCCATTTCTAGTTCGGGTGCCCGTTGCCGATTGAGGATCCGGTTTGTAATTTTGGTGTTTCGATCCAAGGATTGTTGTTTTGCTTAGCCCTATTGATTTGCAATTTTGAGCTTTGTTCATCAATAAAAGGTTCATTTCTCAATTTTTATTCTCATTTCATTGTGTTATGATAGCTTGGTGCGTGTATTGGTCGATTTGTGATTCTACGTTGTTTAAGTAGCATGTCTTAGTTTTCCTTTAAATTGTTTAATTAATTTTATTTCGATTGTGATGCATGTAGTTTTGGGTTCTTGAACAAATGCTTTTAATTGGGTAGATAAAAAAATAAGAGTTGTTTTTTTCTTGGCAAGGAATAATAATGGGCCATCTTGAACCATAAGGAATCTGACCAAATAATAGATCATGTTAGCTAGCCTATTTGCTCACCAATAATATCCCGCCCATAAATTTGGCATCCGAACAATCTCAAAGATTAGGAAAATAATTTAAATGCGCTAGTTACTTTAGGCGCGTTATAATAAAATTATCATAGTTACGGTTACGGTTCTCATGACGTAGTTGTGATACGTAATCTCCAATTCGGGTGTGCATTTCATGTGACTGATCATAAAAACTTTTAATAATAATAAATTAAATATGTCGCGAATCGCGGGTGCATTTCATGTAGCACGGTTTGCAGTGTGTTCCAAACAGCAAGTGTATGACAATCGTAACTTGTTCAAGAAAAATTTCATAAATCCTAAAAAGCAGTTCTAAATAATTAAAAGCGTTATTAAGTTTAAAAATGCACAATAGGTCTAAAACATGTAATTAATTAATAATAGTTGAGAGACCGTACTAAAACCACGGAATCCGGGAATGCCTAACACCTTCTCCCGGGTTAATAGAATTTCTTACCCGGATTTCTATGTTCGCAGACCATAAATAAAAGTCAATTTTCCTCGATTTGAGATTTAAAAATAAACCGGTGACTTGGGACACCATATAATTATCCCAAGTGGAGACTCTGAACTAATAAATAATCCTAATTCGATTAATGTCACTTAAATTGAAAAAACTTTTTTGTCAATCTCGAGAAGATTGACATCTTTTTTACTTTAAAAATTAGTTAGCTTTTATATATTTAACTAATAAATATATCCGCGCTTAGCCGCGGTAAAAAAAAGAATAATGAAAACACAAAATTATTATTTTTTCTAGTTGAGATAGAAGAGATTAATTTCTTTTTGTATATAATTATAAAATTAGTTTTATGTGACAATTTTAAATCTTTTCATCAGATTTTTTTTCTCATAGTTGTTCTTTTTATGAACGTGTCAAACATAGAATCTTCAACGTCATGTCGTATAATTATAATTATAAAATTAATTTTGCAAGTTCGATTGAGATAGGAGAGATTAAAAAATTTAAAGTGCATGTGTATAAAACTATAGTTATATCACTAACATAAATTTTTTTCTTAGAGCTGCCTTCTCATAGTTGTTCTTATTATGTACATGTCAAATACAGAATCTTCAATTTTATGATGTATACTTATAACTATTATTATCATCATTCTTTCATTTTAAGAAAAATGTCCATTGCATGTAATTCTTTTTCAATATTTAATACTTGTTATCAATACCCAAGAACCTCATTGGTGGAAATGAAGGGTTTGGATTGCAAGCTTAATTAATTTTTTTCTTGATGTAAGGAAAGAAAATTAAATAATTAATTAAGAAAATTAATAATAATTTGCATTATCATTTACTTAAATAGGAAGATATATTGTGTTATATTGAAAAAACTAATATCACAACTTACATGATTCAATTTGAAAGATTAACTACAAATAAATAAAAAATAAAAAATTAAAGAGAAATAAGAACATACAAACATGCTTAAGAAAAAGTAGATAAAAAACATACAATAAGTCTCTCTCTCTGAGAGCGAATCAAACTGAAACAAAAAACAAAGTAGATCAAGATCTCAAAAGAGGAAAAATAAAAGAGAAATAAGAACTTACAACTTGCTTAAGAGAAAGTACTTACATAATGTTAACCCGCTGTGCTTATTTGGATTATGTCACCTGATCATAGGCAACACAAATGAACACCATTAAATTAGTGAAGATTTTACAACATTCAGATCTTTTTTAAATATCTATGCCATAACGCAATGTATTTTGTACCTGAGGAGCAACAACTGAACTAAACATTAAGGAAAAAAATTAAGATATTATACTAAGGAAAACTCAAAATGAATAAAATGTAAGTATTCATAATCTTATGTACGTATAATATTAGTTAGTAGTATAAAACAAAAAGGAGTGTGGCAGTGGATTCCCTCGTTCTTCTTCCTTCCCCATGCATGTTAGTTTCTCTTCTCTGCCTATTCCTATCTAATATCTAAAGTGAGAAAACTTATGTTTTAGAGATACTCACAATTCAAGATATGTGAAAAATTTATTGAAAATCATTAGTGCGGTGAATTGGTAGAAAAGGGAATATGAATAGATTAGATAATGAAACCGTGTTTTAATTAGTTAAATGAAACGTTAGAATAATAAATAGTACTCCCTCCGATCCAAAGTAAGTGATTTTTTGGTTGTTTTCACACATATTAAGAAATTCACTTTTTAACATTAATTAGCAGTGAAATTGACCATATTAACATTTATTGTCTCTTCACATAAATACTCCTTACTCATACTCAAACATTAATTACTCCAAGGGCAATGTAGGAAAAAATAATTAATTCATTTGTGAAATCTGGAAAAATCACGTATTTTGGACCACAAAAAAAAGCCAAAAAATCACTTATTTTGGACCGGAGGGAGTATTAGATTAGTAGATGAATCAGTGCTTGCAATTGTGAAATGGTGGAGTAATAATTATTAGACTTTAATTTTTACAATAGCATAAATAAGGAAAAAGCAACAAAAAAAGGAGAAAAAAGATAAATACAAAGCCTAGCATTTGAGACATGCCACATCATCCTTTTCATTCCCACAATTATATATATATATATATATATAAATAGATAGATAGATACCATTGACACGACTAAATGTAGAGACCATTTGATATTAAATCAAATAGCTCAGTAGTAAGAGCATTTTTTATATTTTAAATATATTTAATTTAACTTATATATAAAGGTTCAATAATCGTCACTCACTGACACACCAAAAACAAGTAAGAATATGTATATTTCTTTTTTATAATTAGTAAAAAGAAATAGATAATTAATCCATCTGAACATTATAATTAATTTGCCACAAATTTATATAGTTAAAATTTAGACTTAGTATTTTATTATGACTTGTTTAAACCATTATTCTTCAAGAGTTGTGAAGTGCTTACATACTATTAGTGGTTGCAAAATAGTTAAAAGAAAATAATTATTTATTAATATTAGTATTCACTAAAAATGGATTATATAATAAACTTTTTAAAAACGGGTCAAATATGGATAAGAACCATATTATCCATTTAAAAAATAGATAATCAGTGGGTTTAACTTTTACATTTGTAAAGCCTTAAATTGGGGGTTCCTCAAGTTTGGGAGACTATGAATTCTCCCAAAAGTACTCATATTCAAAAAGTTTCATGGATAATATGAATATCCATATTATTCGTCTGTTAACCTATTTTTTTATATGGTCGGGTGAGATAAATTATCCATTTGTGCATTACTCATCTCTGACCCCTCATATATATTCGACCCGACCCCTATTTGCCACCATACATACAATGGATGTATCGAATAAAACAAAAAAAAATTACGATCTACGTCTTCTAAATATAGTAATTAAGTTTTGTTTTATTACTTAAGCATTGTTACTTACTATTACTATATTATTAAGTATCATTTTAATTTATTACTTAAATTTGTCATATTAACATAATTTGGTGCATGAATTATCTAATAGTAATATTTTTCTGTCAGTACTACGTATTAATTATTTATCTACCGTCGTCTTTATCTCCAGTAGCCTATATAATCTGAAACAACGCACTGAAGAGAAAGAGAGTAAAACAAAGGAAATTTTAGTTCGGAAGAAGGTTTAAAGGAAAAGTACGTGTTGCAATACGTATATATCAGAAATGCAAGCGAGTCCGATGTTGTCCCTCAAGTCTCCGAGTTATAATTCCAACACCAATCTCACTGAAATTGCTGCTAGAGTTGTCAAAGAATTCAACGCTGAAGATGAAACAGATTCCGACTTTTTCTTCAATCATGAGACATTCAGCTGTGCAGTACAGAATTTGAATGAGAAAGCTGAAGTACTGGAAAAAGAAGAGAACGGTGATGATGATTTTGAGTTTGCTTTTGTTAATACAGAATCTGAACTTTCACCTATTTCTGCTGATGAAATCTTCTGCAACGGTCAGATCCGTCCAATTTTTAACACAGATTTATTCTCACACGATGTTCCATTCAAAAATGAAAAGGTTTCGGCTCCGACGGCGTCAATTCGACTTCCGTTAAGGAAGCTTTTCATTGCGGAGCGTGAAACTACGCCGTCGGAAGCCGACAACTTAGAAAGCATTCCTCCGGGAACTTACTGCGTGTGGAGGCCGAGAGCGGCGGAAGATTCTCCAACTGGACAGTGTAAGAAGAGCAACTCCACCGGCTCCTCCTCTAAGCGGTGGAAGTTACGGGACTTCCTTCACCGGAGTAACAGCGACGGTAAAGATACTTTCGTGTTTTTGACGACTCCGTTTAATAAGAAGAGAGAAGAGAAAGCAGAGAATACGACGGCTGACTCTGCTAAAACCGCAGGAAAAGTTGCCGGAGTTCCCGTCGGTGAAGGTTTTCCGGCGGTGCGTTGCCCGAAGAACGGAGGTGATATTAGACGGAAGTCGTACTTGCCATACAGGCAAGATTTGGTAACGTGAATGGGTTGAATAGGAGTTTACCGCCTTTCCGAGGTTAATAACCGCGGATATATGGAATATTCATTCATCATTATTACTTATAAAACAGTTAAGCTTTTAACTATGGGTAGTAAATTGGTGATTAATAAGCATGTGTAAATATCTGTATAAAGTTTTCTACTCTTTGTTATCTATGCCTATGTATAATCAGGTTATATCGCAAATAGTGATTTAAGCATGTGTAAATAAATATCTTTACAGCTTTGGATATTTAATTTTTCATCTTGATGTTTACAGATCAAATCAGTAATTAGATACAAAGTACCGACGATAATTGATCTGATATGAAAATGGTATGTGCATCATGTACAATTGCAACCATGTATTGCTCCAATATCTATAGTCTGAACTGAAAGCAGCGTCAGCAGGCACTAGCAAATAATTTCTTTAGTGTTTACACTTTAGAGGTGTCAATTTTGGCATCCTCCTCTGCATTTTATTTACCAATATAATGCATTATCAATTGTTAGTTGATCACTTGACATGAGTGTACTACTAACCCGTCAGGAAATTAAAGGTAGTCTCTAATACCATATTTAATAGATCAATAAAACAACCAAAGATATACGTTACATCTTTTCTGTTTGTTATCTTCACAACTCACAAGGGAAATCTTTTGAGATATATATTGGCTATGATTCGCAACATAAGTTACATAACGAGTTGTTGACTTAATTCTCTTCGTGCCTAATAAACTTTTGGTGAATAAAAGATCTTCGTTAAAAGAGCCAAAACTGCCTTGGTAATATATATA